CAAGAAATTTCCTGACCGTGAGAACGATTCATCCGTGGAACGATGGGCCTCCAGAGGTTGTGGATGCTCTCCATCACTGGAGGGTTTTCAAGAAGAGATTAGAGAACGGAAAGGGCCTCCTGCTGGAGCATGGGGTTGTACTAGATGACCTCCAGGGTCCCCTCCAACTCCGTTATTCTGTGTGATTTGCATTTGGACAGAGCACTTAGACCAAAATAAAATAAAATAAAGAACCCTGGGAATTTAGCAACAGTCAAGAAATGGGGGGGGCTGGGAGATTCCCCTCCACGATGGAGAACATCTCGAAGGATAAATCTCTACGGAGATTGTCAATCATCCGGGTCCCAAAGATGCTTTTCAAAAGACAACTAGACTTTTCTTTTTCTTTGGAAGCATTTCGTTTCTCATCCAAGAAGCCTCTTCGGTTCTGATTGAACGGTGGGGGACAGAAATAGAAATAGAACCAGCAGCCTTTTGAAAAACGCCTTTGGGACAATCCTGAAGGAGAGGGGCCCAAATATTTTGCCACCCTTCCCAAGTAGGTCTGCCTGCCCTTGTTTCATTGCAAGCAGAAGAGGGAAGACAGAGCTGGCAAGGAGAGGGCATGGCAGTGCCAATTAGGGCAGGAAAGCAGCATCACGTCACCTCTGGTGCCTGCTAGAAAGACCCCAGACCACCCTCAAGGCCTGTTTTCCTCCACCCCAGTCCTCCCCTGCCTTGGGTGAGCTTCTTGCAGCCTTCAAAGAAGGCAGAATCCCCCCAAAATACCACAGCACGGCAGAATCCGGAACGCCCGATTGGAAGAAGGGGGAAATCTCCATCCGGAGGCCCCTGCGATGCTCTCTCTCTGGCCCAAGAATGCCGGCTATTTCCTCTTTTAATCCCAGGAGGAGAGAAAGACCTTTCACAACAATCTTTGCTCCCCCTTTTCCAGTCTAGCCACCAAGACCGAAAAGCTAACCCGCCCCAAGGCATGAGAACCATCCCAAGAGATGCTTTTAAAGCAAAAACCAGCATGACGAGGTAGGGCATATAATCCAGTGGGTCAAGGAGGAACTGTGCAAAATCCAGTAATTCAGATTTTGAGGAGTGATTTGGGCGTAATCCGAGACTGGAGGGACCCTTTCCGAGATTTTATGAGCTGCATATTAAGCAAGAACTGTCTTTTTTTTGGGTGGGGGGGGAGACCTCCTTCCATTTCTATAACCAAGAAGCCTTTTGCTATTTCGGATACGTCGCCTGGAAAATTCAGAGGCATGAAAACTACCCAGTCCTCATTCACACATCCACACAAGCCTGCTTTATCATTTCTTTTTAATGAAACATACGTCTATAATGGAGAAAAATACATGTGGACTCATTGTAGGCTTAAGGCAAGGGAAAGGAAAATGACAGTGACGGCATTTCTTTAAATTTGGGCCATTTTTAAAAAAATCATTGGCCACGCCAACCCATTTAACCCTGCTGGCTGGGGAATTCTAGGAGTTGAAGTGCCAACACCTTAAAGCAGTGTTTGTCAACCTTGGCAACTTGAAGATGCCCGGACTTCAACTCCCAGAATTCCCCAGCAGT